GTTTTTCTTCTTTGTTGTATATAGTTACATAATAAAATGAACTCCAATTTTATCTTGAGGCCAAACATCTTGCAACAGTGGGCAAACAATCTGTAAAACTCATTGCCAAAAGAATTTGCAATGGCCACTATTTTGGGCAGCTCTCTCAAAGGATTACTTGCAAACAGGGTGGAAAATATATATATAATTAACAGCTGTTTTCTCTGTTGGTGGCTAAAATAGACCCTCCATGTTTCAATCCAGTATACCTCTGATGGCTGTGGTAGAACTTGAGATACACCACAAGCAGTGTCAAGGGTAGCTGCCAAACATTGCTTCCAACTTCTGGAACAAAAACCTTGAAGACCTGGACTGAAAGTCTAGCTTCACGGAAAGTGAGAAGCTAACAAGTTTTGTGTGGGTCAAGGACAAAGACCAGTCCAAAAGCTGTTAATTTCCATTGTAAAATAAACTGTGATGGGACAGGTTTATTTTGGAACAGGAACTACTAGGTTGCACTGCTGTTATGATGATGATTTTATTGAAGGCTTGGCAAACATTAAATGGATGGTAGGAGGCACATCTCTAACAGTCTGCTACAGCACAAGAACACAATCCTCTCCATTCTAAAATCAACTCCTTGGCAGGCATTCCATCACTTAGTATTGAAGAGGCGGGAATGTTTTGTTTTGCACGCCAGCCAAGAAGAGAAATGAACCAGCCAGACACCCACCAACAGAACAGTTCTTCACGATTTCGAAAGTGAAGAGCAAAGAACCAGGAACTGGGGGGAAATGCAGCTGCCATCAAATTGCTGTCAATTCTGTGAAAGCAGAGAGACAGAAATACTTTTTTACTAAATTAAACAAAAGCACTTGCTCCAATGAAAGGGAGGATCCAGGTTAATTATTCTGGGTATTTATAAGCAGGTTTAAAGTTAAAGACGATTTCTATTTCTCCTCTCCTCGCGGCTGGAACTGAGATAAAACTGCCTCTGAAAAAACAGAAGTTCCGTCCGCAGCTAACAATAGGCCTGTGCTCCATGAATATAGCCAAAATATAGCTGAACCACCTATGTTAAGAACCATCACTACATTTCTGCCCTTCCTTAGCAAATGCCTGATGGTCAGCACAATCCAGTCCAGGAACCAACACACCCTTTAAGACTGAAGCTTTATTAAGAATTAACGTTTTGTATTCTGTCTTCTTATATGGGTGTTCACAAGGAACATGTGCATTTCAAACCATTCGTGCGTGTATGCAAACAGCTGCCCTTGGAAAAAGAAGATCAAAAGAACTGAATAAATTGGGGACCGATAATGGAACCAAGAAAAAATTTGTTGCTCAAAGTTTGGGTCCCCCAAATACTTAATGAGGCTTCCCCTTGGGAATCCCTTCTCTGCTCCCAAGCAATGTCATAGCCAGCTGTGAAGTCCTTGAAGGAGCAGCCCCCCCCTTCGGGCTGTACCAGATTATAGCCACCATTACCCCACCCCTCCCTGCCCCATGCGGAGAGCGGGTGCCTCCCTCTTGTTTCACCTGGCTGGACAAACTGCATCATCCAAGAAAGGCTGTGTGAGAACATTCAGAGAGCAGGTGCCCCAACGCCAGTGCTTTTC